GTTTTTACGACAAATATTTTGACTTAGAAAGCTGTTATCAAAGTTTAAGAGAATAAAAGAAGTTCTTTAAAAATTGGTACATGCACCCAATGTTTATATGGGAGAACAGCCCTGCTAACAATGGGGCCCACCAATCAATAGGTGTCCTGAAGAGTTCCAGGGGTAGAAAATCTTCTCCAGGGGCCTTATTAGATTTCAGAGATTGAATAATAAATTTGATTTCTGATACTGACACTGGAGGTCAGGGGGGAAGGTTTTCAAAGGCTAAAGGATCAATGATTTGCTTATGTGGGAGGCATAAAAATCCTCCTAAACTGAAGCTGGAATCGGAATGTCGAATCGGAATTTACATTCCTTCAATAAGCCAGATACAGTATTCCAGAAGAAAATTGAGTTTGTCCCTTTCGTTGAAATTTCCAGTTCTGACCATATCTTATTCCTGTAGGAAGCTTTTTTTGAGGCTATCAGTTTCTTCCAGCCAGAGATATTCCAAGTCAGTAACTGGATAGAACCCTTCTGCTTAATATTAGTGGGGGTGATTGGAAAAGTATTGGAATTTTGGGTTAAAAAACACAAGTCTTTCAATCATTCAGTGGGAGTGATGTTATCCAATATTCCTTCGGTGTTGAAAAAAATGTAGTGGTTTGACATTTGTCTACCTTCATTGCTGCCTTGCTGTTGTATGAGCTCCGACAGGTTTTGAGATGAGCAGCGATTTGGGTGGGCTACTTTTGTAGGTTGGCAACTCAGAATGGTGTCAACGTCCAAAAGGGATGGGTTATCCCTAGGCGATGATGATTTTCCTGCCTCAAGTTCTCTCCTTAACCCATTTTGGACTGCTTTGTGAGATGTAGCCCTAGCAGATGATTTGGGGCTTGTGTTTATTTTTAGAAGTGTTGAACTAAGGGTGTCCTCCTTGTAACTCAGTCCTACTTCATGGCCAACCTCTGTTGGTAACTCACAAAGATTTGGGCTGCATCTTGCTTCCTCTTGCTATTGGCCTCAATTTTGTTTCCATTTCTTAGATTTTTTTGTGTGGTGCATCAGGAAGCAGGGGGAGTATGGTAGAAACTACTGCCGAGGACTCTTTGTTGTTCTTTTCTGTGTCTATATACCATGGTAAAATAGGAGGTGAACCAGCAGATGGTTTCTCAAGATAGGTACTATTTTTTGGGGCAGTTGGGATGACCAACTCCATTAGAGGTTTAGCAGCTTTACGTGTTATTGCTAATAATTCCCTCAGATTGTCTAGCCTTTTTATAATATCCACTTGTTCAGTATCTGGCAAGGTACTGAAAGAGTTAATCAAGTTTGTCTCTAAGGGTTCTTCAAAAAACTGACTTGCTGTGAGAGGTACAGACTGTTTGGTCAGGCTGTCTCTTCTCAAGGATAGTGATGATAGAATGCCCTTGGAGTTACCTACTTTTATGTTGCTATAATTAAACTTTAAGGTAACAGCACTCTTATTGCTAAGATGAGTTATTAATGAGCTAACTCCCTCTGTGTGAAACACATATAGTGGGAAGATCTCAAACTTGCTCAAAAAAGGCTTCATTTTGAACAACATGCTGGTGATAGTATGATGTTTAAATGTTAGAAGGATTAGTTTAGAGTCTCTCCTGGATGGAAGCCATTCAACAACTGCCTTTTACACTGTAGAAGCTGACTAAGAGAGAGAATGGCTGCAGTTCTGGATCCCCATTTTCCTCTATTTCCTCTGTTATTTTGGACTTGTAGAGTGATCTGATTTGGCTGTAAGTAACAGTTATGATTTAATCGCCTTTTGTCCAGTACTTCCTGAGAGAGCGGTACCTGGGTGCTCCTCTGGATGTAGGCTTAGATCTCTTACCAATAGAAGAGAGTATGTGAATATTAGATCTCTTAGTTTGTTCCTCACTCTCCTTTTAGGTTCCAAAATAGGATCCATCTTTCCACCACTATTATCTGCTTTTGAGATACAGTTGTCTCTGGATGAGCTTGTTTTGACGGAATCAGCAGTAGTATTTGGATGACTGTGTTTCAGTTTCATAAGAGACTCTAAAAGAGTGTCCACTTTGTTGTTAACTGAGGTTAGAAGCTTAAAAATTGACAATACTGTTTGTGCCATCAGTAGACGTTGTCTGGTTATAAAGTCAGTAACATTTTTGTTTTTTAAATCTTCACCCCCTTGTTGTAAAAGCCTTGCAGCAGCTGGACAGATGGCTGCAATCTGTGAGGGAGAAGCTTCCTCAGGGATAGAAGCAGAAAGATTTAAAAGTTGGAAGCTCTCTCTCTCCGCTTGTAGATCCCATTCCAGGGGGTCATATCTATTAGAGAGGCTATCAGGAAAAGTAGAGGGGGTTTGGTTACTTACGGCAAGTAGTTACTTGCTTTTTAAATAACTGTCAACTTTGAGCTGTTTGGTAGGCTTGAGTGAAGTCTGAGAAGCAGAATGTGAATCTTCTTCCTTTTCCCCATGGCAGAAATGGTAAAAATACAGGTGTCCAGTAAAAATAATAAAAATACAGCTCTCCAGCAGAACAAGAATAAAAAGAAAATGAAATAAAAACAGAATGGAATGGAATGGAATAAAAGCAGAAGAGCTAGTTAAACAAATTGTGAAAGTTCTTAACAGCAGATGCTACCTCGATGCCATTTTCTGGGCTCCCCCTGCATGAATGGAAGAGTAGCAAATCATACCCTCCTTATATAAATGTATGTCTTGCTCCAACATTTTTCTCCTCTTTCCCTGTTACCTCAGGTTAAATTAGTTCACACTGAGCTAGTTACGTGGACTAACATTGGCTATAAAGGCCCTATAATCTCAGATATAAAAATGATTGATTTTTCAAATTCATCCCTGTCTATGTACTAAAAATACATTATCTAGGGAGATCATGCATCAGTAAAGTAATACAATAAACTACTTCTTAAAACAATTGATTGCATACTATTAATTGTAATTCCAAGTGACAAGCATTTTAAGAAATGAAGGTATGAAGGAAATTAGGGTTGCAAGCCTTCAAGAAGTAAATACACAGTTTGGAGCAGTGATGTGGAATCCCAAACCCATCAACATTTTTAACTCCCATATCCTTTTCTGTAGCCCCCTGAGTTGCAAACTCTGCTTCTTAGACTTTATTAATGGAAAGAAATGCTACAGCCAGCCAGCTTCATTCCTGTCCCTGTAAAGAGCTCCCTCAATAGACAAATTGCTTTTTATCATATCACTCTAGAAAAACTGGTAATACAGGAAATTACTAAGTTGGCAGTACTGTAGCAGATACTTTGAACAGCAAACTTTGGACTCTTTATTAAGTGTTAAACTTCCAGAGTATGCTTACAGGAATACCGTTATTTGATGATTTGACTGTAATGTTCCTGTATACATGGCCCAGTCATGCAGTCAGGGTTGGTTAGATTTCCCGTGTATCAGAAAAGTCATGTCACATTTTACAGCCTTCTATATATGTCCTACTTTTTGGTAGCAACACCCTCTTGAACTACATTTGCAGTCCAATCTTTGTCCAAGGTTTAAAAAAGCCTTTAAAACACTTCTTTTTTCAGGATGCTTATGAAGTTGGAAGACCCATGCTTTGCAATTTCAGTACCAATACTAGTTTAAATTATGGTAGTGTGAGGTTAGATAATATTTATAAAATTGATCTATTTTATATTATGTTGTGATTTTTATTACTGACAGCTTATATTGTACTTAAGTATAAAGACATACCAACTAAAATACTTCTGTAGCTCCTACTAGTGTGCTACAAATAGCATTCCAAGCAGATGCGTTTTTAAACTGAAATCTCATTTTTGTTCAGGTGATAAGCAGCTATGACAGAAACTGATACTTCTACAATACTGAAATTGATGTTTATTATGCTTATCCAGGAAGCAAATAAACTGACAGTTGCCACCTGCAAAGCAGCACACATGGAACTTAGATTTTTAAACTATCCTGCTTGCTGCAGGACAGTTAAGAATCCTTGTCTTAGAGGTGCAAGTAATTGCATCATCAAGTTACAGTAGCAAATAAAGGCTCTCCAAAGACTACATGAGGTCCCTGGATGCCAATCCCTTACAACATAACTCCAATTTTAAGGATCTCTACCCTGTCATTTAATGTAGATCCTCTCTAATGCCCCCTCCCCACCAAAAAAAAAAAAATCTGAACATCCTTTCTAAGTTGAGAGCAGACTGAATACATGCAGGAATAGTTAAGCGTTGCAATGTGGAGTGTTTCTGTTCTGCCAATTACAGCCTTTTCCAGAATACCTCATGCCATCCTCCTTTTCTCAGCCTGAGCAATCGGTCAGCCTTCCACATTCACTGAACGTTGCTCTACCTTTGTGTTGCTTTAACCTCCTTACTCCTGTTTTAGGGGTTTTCTGTCCTTACATTCAGCTGATGTCATTTTGGCTACATAAAGGATCAACACTGGAGAACAAGTACTTTACTATTACAAAGGATTAAGCGTAAGACCTGCACCAGAAGATAAATAATTCTTATCTATGTATAAAGAAACTCTAAGAGGCATTTTAAAATAACTGTTGATGCTTTTGCTGATACTGTTATTGTATGAAATTGCTGTTAGATAAATAAGTTTTCCCCTGCCTGCTGTCTTGCAGAAGTGTTGGACTATAACTTCAAACAGGTCCAACCAGGATGAGAAAGACTGAGCTAGTTTACCACTTGGTTACTGACACAACAGAGTAACTCAACCAGAAAATTTCAGTGAGACAGATTAACAATGAACCAAGAATTCTGTGACCTGGCCACTTGTGCTACTTCTTAGTAAATATTCACAACAGATGCTGAAAAAAACTACATTATTATGTCCACACAAGCAAAAAGGTAATTTGAATTAGCTATGTCTGCAACTTGCAACAAAAACATAGGAGAAAAGACTACCTGATGGCAATTCAGGGAACCAAGGAACTTAATCAGCAAGGAAATACAGGAAAGTTGGTCTGCAAGATTAACCTATTCAATATGTAGGTCCAATAGTCCACTTTTACCTTTTGATATTTAACAATGCCCAAGGAATTCCTGTGGGGGTATTAAAAGCTGGAAGCAACTTCTCTCCTAGTTCTACTGCTTTTTTTCGAAATATCTAAAAATGGGAATAAACAAGAGTTATGTGATACAGGAGAAAATGAAAACAACATTTCTATATTTTAATCTGAAATTTCAAATAAAATTCAGAACATTCTTCTAAAACTCTTTAGAAATATTTGGCAAGAAAATGAGAACTGTAAACAGTATTAAATATACTCAGCATTTAAGGAGGCAAAGGGGCTAGATTAAATTTTGTTAATACAAAACACAGTATTAATTATACTTTTTTTTTCAAAATGTTTCCCTATTTTTTTTCCCAAAGAGAAGCTGCTTCCAATTGTTATGAACTAGAGTTGCCTGTTAATTAACAAAAGGCCAACTCATGACACAGAGAAAAATAGTATTACTCTAACAAAACAGAAGAAACAAGTTTAATTGAATAAAATAAAAATATTCTGTTTGGTTTCGTCAAGTTGGTAAGCTAAGCTATTCATGATGAGACACAATATTTTGATCTGTACTGTTTAAATAACAAACTGCAGTAGATTTATAATACATTATTTGAAGTATCAGTTTTCTATTCTTATCTGGAATAGGTTGCTAAAGTAATTTTTTCTATCAAGGAGAGACAATGGCTTTGTTCAATATACAGTTTGCTTTTGTTTTAGTAATGGCTTTTTAAATAATCAACAGTGGATAGGTTCATATAGTGTGCAAACTATAAACCACACCCTAAGTCAAAGATGAATCAAGCACATTGGCAGAACATGATGTATGACCTGAAACACTGAGTCCTGGCTTAAATCCCTCTCCACACTGTAAGAAGGGAGAGAAGAGGAGAAAGCATGTGATACTCATGTCTCATGGGGGCTTGCAGGCCATTGCATACAGAGCCCTATGTCCTGCATTAGGAATATATTTTAACTAGGACAATAGAATTTCCTTCTTCAAGCTCCTCTGTTCAGACTTTACATTTAAGGAAATACTTTTTGGACAGACTGGGTGCTCCTAAAGTCTATGAATACTATGAGAAAGTTTTGCTCCTTTTAACTTTTTATTTAAAAACATTATATAGAATGCTGTAAATCAGTGTTTTTCAACCTTGGCAACTTTAAGATGTATGGACTTCAACTCCCAGAATTCCCTAGCCAGCATGCTGGCT